GCGGAAGAATCTGAGGGGATGGAAGGGCGGAAAGAAGAGGGAATTTTGAATGAGCCAATTTGGCGGTGTGGTCCCAGCGTGGGAACGAGACATTTTTGCGCAACCCTAACCTAAAAATCGCCGGCGCTTGCACAATCGACGCCGAGATTCAAATATTCTGATTCAGTCGACGGAAGTAATAATAAGGATAAGGCAAGCACTAGCATCGTACACGGGTGCTAGGAAAAGTGGAAGCAGCTTCTGGTACGCTGCTCACTCTTGCTCACTGTACTCCGAGTCCAAAATACAGGGACTAGCAAGGATGATTATGAGAATACAAGGCACATACACACACAGGACCGAAGATGGGAGCTGTATGTATAATACCACTAGTGTAATCTTTGTCTTAAAAAAATACCAGGACAGCTAAGACTTTTCTATTGGGGGTACCGCGGATCGAACGCGGGACCTTCAGAAGAAGACAAAGATTTAGGTACTTCAGTCTGCTGCTCTCCCAGCTGAGCTATACCCCCAACACTTGTGCCACATATTGAAAATTACTAAATCAAGTGTGGCTAATTAATACCACTGTAAAGTCAGCATCCCACACCTCCTTAACTGCTTTACTTGTTCATTTGAAAGGATTCAAACACCAAAGAATATGTGCATTGATCCAGTGTCTATTTATCCACACCATACAATGAGATCAAGGCAATAGTTTCAAGACCTGCTCTGGAGCTGAGGGATGCAATGAGACTATGTTTGACAAGGTGAAAACCCTGTTCAGAGGATAATTCTATTAATCAACCCCACTGCCTGAACGCAATCCCACTACAACCCTCCTTCAATAAGTTGCCTCTGGAGCAACCCCGTTGGCATAGGCGAAGCCCTCCACAGAGCCCACCGTGAATGTCACAAGTAACTAAATCAATATATTCTACCTCTTGACCTCAGCCAATTTGGTCTCTCGATCACTCCAACATCTCCAGCACTAAGCCCACAATTTGGCTTGACAGCTCCAACATCACTTGTACAGTCAGATATAGAGGCCCGAGTTGGACTGGATGAGGGTGAAGTAGACTAGAATGAAGACCAGGGACAGGAATATATTAGCACTGAAGACAGATGACTGATAACCAGCACTTTTTGTGTGCACTGAAAACAGACAACTGGAAAAGAAGGACTAGACAATGGCAGCAAAACTGACATCTAAAAGATGATATAGTAAAGAGGCAAGGTACAAACTGAATTCAAGCTTTCTCGATGACAAGATAGATCATATCAGCAAAACTTGTATTTTCGCTGGAGGTCTCCAGAGATCTCTGGAGCTTGACAGCTGTCAAAAAAAAACTGTCAATTTTCTCCAGAGATCTCCAGAGGTCTCTGGAATAGGGTACCTTGCTCCAGAGATGTCCTAAATGAATGGGTTTTCTCCAGCAAAAATACAGGTTTTGCTGATGATGATTGAGTTCTAAGGAGGTGCCAAGGATGCTGGTGAGAATGGTGGAGCATCGGAAAGACACACCGGAAAGTAACAAAAATCTGCTCGGCAGATTTTTGGACTGATACGCAAACAATTGGTCCATGTTTTGATGACACCGAAAGCCAGACCGAAACGCAGATTTTCAGCCAGGCAGAAACTCCTGTGGAGAACTGTGGATTGCTATGGAATGCTATAAACTCCTATAAGAGTAAATTTCGAAAAAATGACATCTGTCAGTATTACATTCAATACCAAATATATTACTCCTTTGAATTATTCCCTTGGCTTGCAAAACCAGTGCGAGACTGCAAGCAATCATATAAATAATATATTGATGCATCTGTAGCACTACTAGTACAATGTAGTGAGATTAGTATAACAACTTGTACATGCAGTACTAATGGAGCCTTAGTACTACTATTACTACCTATGAGTGGTCATGACTAATGGTGATACCTGTTAGTAGATAAATGAAGCAGGTATTCATCGCTGGAGGGAAGAAGTTGATGTTGAGATGTAAGTATGTATGTACATATATAGATGGTGATATTAATCAACCAATTGATCAAATTGGCCTAGCTGACAGTGAGCTCGGTAACCAGTTCGAACATCATGAGGAACTCAATTAATACACTCACCTAATTCTTTCAATGTTTGATTGCTTTGCATGACAGATGCTAGCAGCCTGCAAATGTCATAATGACCATGTTTATGTGTGAAATAAAAAGCAGTAAATCCATCATCAGTCCATGCATTGACATTTGCTCCTTTTCTCAAGAGGTGATGCACAAGTTCCATGTGACCATTATGAGGTGCAATTATAAGGGGAGTAGCATTCCTCAAACCAGGAATATTCATGTTGGCTCCATAATCCAGTAGAAGCTTGACAATGCTAAAGAACCCATTTTTAGATGCTTGTCTTAAGGCAGTGGAACCATTCTCATTTTGTGCATTTACATTGGCCCCATTCTTCAGCAGGAGTGAAACAATATCATAATGGCCTCTTTGAGCAGCAACAACAAGAGGAGTAGTGTTGTGGAATCCTGGGAGATCTGGGTAAGCCTCATGGTCAAGTAAAAGTTTGACAATTGCAAGATGACCATTCTGGGATGCTTGCCTTAAGGCAGTGGATCCATCCCCAGTTGGACCATTTACATTTGCTCCCCTGTCCACAAGGAATGAGACAATATTCAAATGCCCTTTTTGAGCAGCAATTATAATAGAGTTCCACTTTGCATTGATGTAATATCCATGTCTGCCCCACAGTTCACCAGAAGCCTGACAATCTCAAGATGGACCATTCTGTGAGGCTAATCTCAAGGCTGTAGAACCAGCTTCAATTTTTGCATTTGCATTTGCCCCACACTCAATCAGGATGGAAACAACATCCAGATGACCTCGCTGTGCAGCAATTATAAGTGGTGTGTATTTCTTGAATCCAGGAAAATTATTTTCTGCCCCATGCTTCAGCAAAAGCTTTACAATTTCAAAATGACCCTCTTGTGATCCTTGTTTCAAAGCAGTGTCACCATCTTCATCTTGTGCATTCATATTTGCCCCCTCCTCAATCAGGACAGAAACAACATCCAAATGACCATTTTTTGCAGCAATTATAAGTGGTGTGTATTTCTGGAATCCAGGAATATCTTTTTCTCCCCCATGCTTCAATAAAAGCTTTACAATTTCAGAGATGACCCTCCTGCGATGCATATTTCAAAGCAGTATCACCATCTTCATTTTGTGCATTCACATTCACCCCATTCTCAATCAGTAAAGAAGTAACATCTAAATGTCCACTGTGAGCAGCCTTTAGAAATGGTGTGTTTTTTTTGAACCCCGGGATATCCTTGTCTGCCCCAAGCTTCAGTAGAAGCTTGACAATTTCAAGATGGCCTTTCATTGATGCTTGTCTCAAAGCAGTGCAGCCATGTTCATCCTTTGCATTCATAATTGCCCCCTCCTTAATCAGGACAGAAACAACATCCAAATAACCCTTCTCTGCAGCAATTATAAGTGGTGTGTACTCATAGAATCCAGGAATCTCTTTTTCTGCCCCGTGATCCAGCAAAAGCTTGACAATTTTGAAATATTCATCATCTTTTGCCTGTCTGAAGGCAGTGATCCCATTTTCACTTTGTGTGTTCCTTCCTTGTACTGCTGCACTTAATGCTGATCCCCACATTCCTCCTGTTACATTTACATTCTTTTCATTCACCAACTGCTTGACCATAACTTCAAGACCACACCAAGCAGCATAATACAATGGATGAGGTATAGGACAGCCCTCTTTTGTACTTGCTTCAAATTTTGCCAGTTTCAAGCAATTAATATATGTAGTTCCACCTGAGTTAATAAGCTGAGAGGCCCTCTGATTTACTTTATCACTATTTGCAATTTTTGCATGTTTATACCAGTTTCGAGCAGCATATCTAGAGATTGGATATTTCTCATTCCATTCCATTGCATCTGCTATTTCTGTATTGAACTGTAGTAGATATGCCAAGCAACTCTCTACTATCAATTTGTGGGTCAAAAATTCCTGCATGTGAAACTGCGACACTACAGTGCTCACATGAGTTTTAAGGTGTTCAGATAGGAGAAATTCCTTCACAGACATATGCGCTAGCTCCACAACATTTTCAGTCTGGTCTACATGTATAAGTGTTGCCCCAAGGAAAGCTATATGCTCTGGAGCTACCCGGTATTTCTTCTCAAATCTAATTCCATCAACATTGTTTACAAAAGCAATGACTTCCCCTAGTGCACTTAATGATAAAGGTTCCATTGAAAAGCAAAGCCACTGTAGAACTTGCTTTGTATCATCAATACGGGAGGGTTCAATTGCTTGAAGAGCTTGAATATAAGTATCATGCAGATTGGCTGGGAGTTGAGTTAAAACTGAATCAACTGCCTTCAGACCTATGCATGATTGCAGTGCAATCAATTGGCAATCAACCCAGCGGAACCTAGGATAGTAGTCAGAATGGATTTTCAACCATGAACAACTTTAACACTCACATTCCATTTGCCCTCCTGGTTAAACTATCTATAATTTGACTCTTTGCCTCAAGACCATGATGGCGAAATGTGCGGTCATTTTTCATGGTATAATCAAGGAAAATTTCCACATCAGCATTCACATCTTCTTTGTCAATATAGACAGTTTTTGAGCAAAGCTGTTCCAATTCATGGGCATAAGAGATATGTGGACGACTTGCTATCAGAAGATGTAAATGAGAGCATGCCAGTATGTTAAGCTCTTCTATAAGCTGGAAAAAGGGCTTGAAGGCTTGATTCTCCATTTCATCAAGTCCATCAATTATAATGAATAATGATTCAACTTTGACAACTGAAATGACCTCTTTCAAGATTCTTATCAGATCTCTGTCACTTGGCTTGCTTTTGAACTTCTCATGGTTATCATAGAATTTTGATATTGCCAAATAAATTTCCTTTTGCAACGTGGTTGATGACGACAGCTGGGATAAAAGAGTTGTAACTAGGTTGTTGAAGCTTTGTTTGAATGTATCTCTGAAATCAAAAAAGTAGAATGCCATCCGTTGATTTTCATGGGCATCCAAACTCTTCACATGATTGATAATAGCAGATCTGGGCAGTGGAAAAGTTAGCCATGCATGAATGAACTAAATTTCACATACACTAGCACACTTTTACCAGATCCCACTGTATTTTAATCCTCAGACTAAGGGTAAAATCGAAAATATGAATCCTGAAACTCACCATCACCCTGCAGCCAGAGAAGTGAGTTGGGAGTTTGCTTCCAATTGTTGAAATCCTCTCTTTTCAGAAACCATTCACCAGTTCCAGCTGTTCTTTTTTGTGAAAAAAACTCATGGCTCTGGTGAGCATTGGAGGGACTTAACCATTTTATAATTTGTTCTGATTCACTTATGATTTGTGTGTCACTTGGATCTTGAACTACCCATCAGTAACAATAGGATTGTGTCAAACACAAACTCACAATGAATATGCATGGTATTTGCATTGTGGAAGTGAGGATGCTCCATCCTAAAATCATTAGCCCCGCTG